CCCCAAAACCCCAAAACCCCAAAACCCCAAAACCCCAAAACCCCGTATTGGAATTAAACACTTGAAAGTGAGAGTTTCGTCAGAAATACATTAGAAGAGGATTTTAGTTCTAAAGTGGTTCGTTAGGCTCATTAACTACTGTTATATTAGACAATCCATGTTTTCTGAGCTGTTCCTGAGCTGTCTCGTTGGAGATTTTAGCTTCCCAGAGGCTGATAGTCTGCAGACTGTTCTTAATAGGAGATTTCTTGATGGCTTTGATTATTCTTTCAAATCTGTCTGGTCTTTCATCCCAATTCATGGAAAACTCACAGTAGCTAAAGTCAAAGCAGATGTACTTCAAGCTAGTAGGAACACTACTGAAATCCATGCCATCCTTAGTATGAAGCTTACAGCTTCTAAAGATCATCCTCTCTGTTTCTGTGGCACTTTTCATTACCTTCTCCAAATCTTTTGGCTGAAACTCTGTCTGACAGAAATAAGCTTCTCTCGAGATCAGGGGGAGGCATTTGACCAATCCTGGAATAATTTTGGAACCATTGAAGCACATAACATGGCCAAAGTTAAAACAAAGATTTTCAATAGGTTTGTTGATGCAACTAAGTAAGAATCCATTGAGGGTATCAAGATTCTCGTTTCTGATGCCAAAAATTTTTACTCTTTGAAGCTCAGGAACTTGGGCATTAGACTTCACAAAGCTCTCCAAAGTAGTAAGGTTCTCTTCGTGATTAATATCTAAATCTAATTTTGATTTAGCAATGATCTCTCTTGACTCTTCAAATGAGGTTTGGAGTTCTTCAAGCTTTGAGTTAGCTTCTATTAGTTTACTCTCTGAGTCTTTCTTCTCATCCTCAGAGTGATCAAGGGCTTCTTGGAGATCAGTTAATCTTTTCTCAAGCTCAGATACATTGCCTTCTTTTATATCAAGCCTTTCTAGTAGATCCTTAATGTAATTATCAGCAGCTCTCTGGCTTTGCTCTTTCGAAGAGCCATCCTTCTGTTCTTCAACGAGAGATGGGATTTTAGTATCAGTTTTAGTTTCCATTTAGATTATTAACTATACTTTGAAAAGGACCTTTTATTCAATGTTAGCCCGTTCAAAGGGGTTTTGGGGTTTTGGGGTTTTGGGGTTTTGGGGTTTTGGGG